CTCACGCACGACGGCACGGGAGCAGAGGTGATGGCGGAGATCGAGAGACTATCCATGGCGAACCACACGCAGTGGCAGAGGGACACCACAAGGCTTGACCCCACGACGGCGTGGCAACAGTCAGTCGAGAACCTTCGGAACGCAGCACTCCCTGAGCTTCAGCTTCGGACAGAAGTACCAGAGAGCATGAGTAAGTACAAAGAGGAGCGGGCGGCCCTTCTCGAGAGGCACCGCGGTGAGAGACGATTAGTACGAACTGAAGAGGATCGACAACGGATACGGGAGCTTGACAAGGTGATCAAGCAAGAGAAGAGGCGCATGGACGTGACTCACGTGGGGGGATTGTTAGAAGAGGGCGACGTGCACACAAAAGAGAACGACACCAATAACCTGTGGAAGGTGGTGTACAAGATCGGTGCTCGCTGCAGAGGCCCTCGGCAGAGAGCATACAGTGTTCCAGAGTTTGACCGCCCGAGTTTGCAGGAATGGACCGACGCGATGACCGCGTCGGCCAAGAACGGCGGCTTCTGCGCCAAGGTCCTCGAGAGCCCAACCGAGGCCGCGAAGCAGGAGCTCGACCGACTCGAGGAGGAGGGCCCCGAGACCTTCGGAGGGGCCCCAGCGTCTGTCGCCCATGACGACTGGTACCGCACCTTGCTCCAGCTTGCGAAGGCGGCCAGACGTCGTTTTGCTCCGAGACACTCTCTGCCTGCCGAGCTCTGGCGCTGGATCGTGTTGCAAGCATCCAGGCAGCTCACGGGAGAGTGGCTGTCTACGAGTCACCTTGTTTGTGGCCTGACCGCACTTTACCGATCGCCTTCGGCGAGTTCTCCGGCAGTTTCGTGCCAAGTAGAGGACGCCTTCGACGTGGCACTGGAGGAGGACCTTCCAGCTCTCCAAGGGGAACCACAAGAGAAGCACGAAGGCCATGAGGCTCTATACACTTCTACTGCCCGTTTGGTAAGGCCTGGTTTAGGGACCTGTATCTTCGGAGTCCCAGACCGCCCCTCTATCCACATGCTCACGGGCACGCTCCGCACAGGTCTCGACAAGGGGCCCAACCTGTTGCCAAAATACACAGCTGGAGACTTAGGAAACTTGGGATCTCTCAACTCCTCGTCAAGAAAGACATGTCCAACGCTTCCCCCTCCACCTCGCACGCCGAGCTGGCTAGGACGGTGCTCTCTAGGACGGTGCTCTCGGTCATACCGCACCCAAAACGGCATGAGGAAGCAAAGATGGAGATCAGGGCGGGGGAGGAGAAGGGGTACTACCGGCCTACGCACGGATCGGGCATGGGGGGCGGGAACGCCTGCGAGTTGTTCGTGAGAAGTTTTCTAGGCCTAGTTGAAGCGTGGCGTGATCCCTTGCAGGAGTGCCGAGACACTGTTCAGACGGCTGAGACGACAGCTCCTGCACCGCTGGCGCGCGCCGCTTCCATCATGTCGCGCGCGCTGGCGGGTGAGATGCACGATGTTTCCGTACGAGATTATGTCGACGATATACATCAAACAATCCCTCTGTGCGCCCCGAACCACATCGAAGCTCGCAGTCGCATCGTAGGAAGTTGGAGGGGGGAGGAGGATTCGCACAGAATCCCGACAAAGACGGGGCCTGGCGCCTACACAGCCACGAGGTCGCTCCTGTCCCGCACTGTGCCGTTGCCAGGCGTTGTTGCTGCCGAGAGTCTGCACTTGGGAAGGATGGAGCAGCTTACGGCGGGATGTGGAGCTGAGATCAGGAGATTGGAGGCTACTAGGTCGGCGTGGAGGATGATGGGAAGATTCTGAGAATTGACGCGCTCTATCCGATTGAAGCGTATGGCTTTCAAAGGGATCATCCTCTCGGCAGCATTCTCGGGACTGGAGTCGTACTTACCAAACAAGCTGGGCTACAGACGTCTGGATGCCGTCATTCTCGGATTTGCACGGGTGACCCTGAGAGATCGCAAACCTGAATTCGCAGCAGATGCTCCAGACGGCGCAAGACCGAAGTATCGCTCTCTGCCTGAGGCAGCAGTGCTCCAGAAAATGATGATCACCGATACGAGAGCAGAGCTGCTGGTTCGCCGACTCCGACAGTGGCAACGCATAGTCATGCACCCAGAGGACAACCGACAACCCATAGTCGCTCTCTTTGTTTGGGCCCCTGGACGGCCTCGGCGAGGCCAGCACCTTCCTCGACGACGGCCCGGTGAGCCCGAAGGCCAATCCCTGGGCACTCCAGGTCCAGCAGGACCTTCAGGCGTTGCAGAACAATACCTGCAAAGAGGAACCCATGAGGTTCATGTATGTGATCTACCTGGTGAAGGACACGATAGGCTCTGTGGGCAGATATTCTACAGCGCAGGGGCCCTCCGAGCACGCAAATGTCACTCACTAGCACATCGTATGCGCCGACCTGCACACATACTGGTCATCACCAGTCAGTGCCTGTACTGTATGTCTACGTTCAAGAGTATGGTAACGGCCAAACGTCACGCCGCTCAGGGTCGCTCAGGCCCTCAGAACCCGAAGATGTGTGTATGACCAGAGCCCGTATGCCCCCGCGTTGGAGACCCCATGGACCTCCACTGCCCGTTCTGCATCGATTTGGCCTCGACATTTGAGGGCTTTGTCTGTAATATGCCGCCTGCCTCAAAGCACACCGCACCTTTCGAGACTCTGGCGGAGCTCCAGAGACACATCAGAGAAATACACGCTCCGCCCGCACCGGACCTGGTATCAGACGAGTGGGATGGACCTGGCCAACCACGCCCTCAGCGTGGACGCTTCAGAGCGAGACCGCGCCTTGCGCTCGCGAAGCGGCGAGAGGCGGCGCCGAGGCGACTGGAGCAGGCAGCAGGGACGAGGCCAACGAGCACCCCACTCGCAGCCCGCCCAGCCAGACCAGCGGGGCGAGGCCGCGGCCACGGCCGCGGGGAGCCTCGGTGTGGCAGGCATGGCGGCCGCAGCGGCAGGGGCGGACGCACAAAGGCAGCCCCAAGTGCCGCAGCAGCCGCGCCAGCCACAGCAGCAGCGGCAGCAGCAGCAGCACCGACAGATACTGACGAGCATCTTTGAGAACGCAGAATCGACGTATGGGCTGCGGCGAGGAGACGTCGCCAGGCTGCAAGAAGCTCTGGTGTCAGTGGAACGAATGCAGGCTGTGATGCCGACGGTGATCCGCGCTGTGCTGACGAATGCGCAGAACACGGCGGCGCTCGAGTCGGCGGTCTTCTTCAGGAGGCGACCCGCCTCCGCCAGCAACACCGCCAGGAGATCAGCGAAGGCCGCGTCGCGGAGGAGCTCGACAGACTGGGAGTGCGACACCCACACTTGTGGCTGGCTCTTGTGGGTACACTGCAGCAGATGGGTGACAGAATGGGCGCACAGACGGCGGCGAAGATACGACAAAACATGGACGGCATCAGGGCGGACCAGACGCTCACCAACGTCGCGATCGCGAGCCAAGTGAAGTACTGCAGGGTGAGCTACGCACACGACAGGTCGGTATGAAGATCTCTCTCAAGGCCCGCCAGACGGGCATCCAGGCAGAGGTGCTGACGGCGTTGGTCCAGTGTGGCGCCTCCATCAAGAAGGGCACCCCGCCCAAGAGCCACCAGGAGAGCCTTCTGCAGCTGGCGCTGGACGGACTAGAGGATCTCTGACAAGGATGATGAAGAATAGAAACGCGAACATGAGACGAGACAATGGACAAAGCGGAGGCCGTAAGAGAGGCCCACGAGTGAGAAGTGAGCCACGGCCGCCACCGCCCCGACGCCAAGAACGAGCTGGAGTTGCTGCAGATCCCGCACGTTTAGGCGGGGACTCTAGCCTCTCCCGACCTCCCCCTCCCCCCCGTCCTCGGTGACGTCGTCGAGACGTCCTCGGCCTCGGCTCTCCACCTCCTCTGCCCTGGATGACGCAATGTATCGTTTAATGCATGGGACTCGGGGCCGACCTGGGGCCCAATAACTTTTTTCCTCGCGTTGCGGTTGTGGTTTGAAAGTGGTGTGCTTGTGTTGTTCCGTTTCGTTCCTGGAGCTCGCCTCTGAGAATTGAGGCCTCCCAGTTTAGTTGTGTTGAGTGCATGGCGTGGCCCAGCCCCAAGGATATCTCTGTTCTGGGCTAGCTATGGCGCGCCAGAGCCCCCCCACCGTGCGATTGCACCGCTGACGTAGCGCGCTCTAGGCACTTGGGCTGAATATCTGGTGTTCGATTCTCACACAGGTCAGACTCGTGAACCTGCAGAGCTCCGCCGCCGCGCCTCCTCCTGCTCCTCCTCCTCCTCCTCCTCCTCCTCCTCCTCCTCCTCCGCCTGCTCCCTCCTCATCCCTCCATCCTCCCTCCATCCTCCCTCCTCCTCCTCCTCCTCCTCCTCCTCGTCCTCTTCGCTCCCTCCTCGTCCTTCTCCCTGCTCCCTCCAGCCTCCATCCTCCCACCCTCCTCCCTCCTCCCTCCTCCGACCTCCATCCACACTATTCCCTCCTCCTCCCTCCTCCTTCCTGCATCCACCCTCCTTCCCCCTCCTCCCTTCGCCTTCCCCATCGTCCTTCTCCTCCTTCCTCCTCCTCCTCCTCCTCCTCCTCCTCCACCTCCTCCTCCTGTTCGTTCTCCACCTCCTTTCTTCCTTTCGCTAGGCCCAAGTCATGATGAGGTCGGATGGTGATGGCAGTCGTGTAGTAGTGATGACCATCGCTGCCTTGTCAGCGTCGTCCGGGGCGATAACCTCAAGGAAGAGATCGGTTCAGGCATCATTCCGAACGACGGTTTCGATGCACCATGCTGCCGTCGAGCAGGCCCATGCCCGCGGGCCGCCGTCCGTGTGAAACAAAAGATCGGCCATCGCAAGGTACTCGGTTGATATGTATCTGGCTTGAGACTATGATTTACGCTCGTCTATCGTGTAGTTGACCAGGTAGTCTACTCTCTACTCGGACGCTGCATGTCCGTTGCTGCTCGTCCTCGTCCTCGTCCTCCTCCTTTCTCCATGTTGGCGCTTGCGGGCAGCGCCCGCGCCTCGCTTTTTCTGCAGGCCCAGGAGTCCCTCGCACAGGACATGCTTCAGCGGCGCCTGCCGCGGGCCGCCGCGCGCAGGGCAGGGCAGGATGCGAGGGATCGGGGCGCCCAAACGGGAAATCCAAGAGGGGGTTCCCCAAGTCATGGCCCGAGGGCAGAAAACGTGCTGAGAGAAAAATAGGGCCATGAAGCCCGCAGAGATACCATACTGTGGCCCCGGAAGGATGTCCCCCTAGCAGCCATCACCCTTCTCTTCGATACCTGGGGGCTGTCGGGCCGTAACTCAAGCCGCAGGCGGCCGTTCGGGACGATCCGCTCCCCAACCCCTCCCCCCCCCCAAAGGTCTCGACGAGGCGCGGCTGCTAAACAGCATCCCGAGGTGAGAAGCCCTCCTAGAGCGAGCAGCCCCCTCCATCCTGGGACACATCGTTGCCCCGGCCTTGATATCCAATCCCCCCCCTTAGTCAGCACTCCCTTCTTGGCGGCTCCCGAAAGGGTGAAAACTCGTCCACCTCGAGAAGCAGCTGGGACCTGAGCAAACACAGGAACCGATGGGAGCGCCTCGCCCGTCTAGTGCCCCCGACCTCGCTCGCCCTCCCGCTCTCCCTCGCCCCCACCCCCATCTCCCGTCCTCCTACTGCCACCATCCCTCCTCCGCCCTCCCCGTCCCCCTCCCCCCGCTCCCCCGCCGCCACGTCCCTGCCTTCTCTTGCCCTCCTCTTCCCGCTCTCCCTCCCCCCCTTCCCCTCAGCCGTAGCCATTTTGGCTCAAACCGCCGTCCCGGATCAAGGGCCTTTGCCAGCACAAAGGGTGCTGTTTTTGGCCACCACCACCTCCCGGGACAGCTGCCATGCGCGTCGACCCGTCCTGCCGGCTGGCGCCGTGGTGGCAGTCTGCCGAAACCGCCCCTTCGCGCCTCCGTGCGAGGGCTCGGCTACGCGGCCCGGGTCGGCCGCCGTGTCCAGATGGGCGACGTGGCCGCGCTGGCGTTCGCTTGCGGTGGCCATACCCGTCGACGTGTTCTTCCCCAGCGCGCTCATCCGTGTGTACCTGATGATCGTGCTACGGGTCTTGCAGGTGCTGATGGGCTTGCTATTGTTGCTGCTCCGAGACCGCGAGGCCCTCCGCCGGCGCGTGCTCCTCCGACATTTGCGGAGAGAAGCGTATCATCGCCGCCGGCTACACATTCGCCGGCTGCACCTCCGGTGGACGAGGCTCTGAACGCTGGAGCTCCTGGTGTTGTTCACGCTCCTCGTCATAGCGCTCTACGCAATGCGCCGTGGTTGCCTGCTGGCGCCGCGCCCCCGGAGGCGCCCGGGAAGGTGGCGCGTGCGGTTGCCGCTGCTGCCGCGGCCGTGGCCGCGGCTCCGGATCGTGGATCTCCTGGTGATGTTCACGATCCTCGTGATCGTCCTCTACGCCCTGCGCCGGAGCTCCCTGCTGGTGCGGCGCCCCCGGAGGCGCCACGTCGCGGGGCGTTTGGCGCGGCCGCTTTCGGCGCTTCTGCAACGGGGGCCGAAGCTCCGGAACCTGGTTGTGTTGTCCACGCCCCTCACGATCGTGACCTACGCCCTGCGACACGTCTGCCTGCTGGTGCTGCGCCCCCGGCGGCGCCAAAGCGGGTGAGGTTCGCGGTCCCCGCTTCCGGCGCTGCTGCTGCCGACACAAGATCATCTTGATCGTGATATTCGCTCAGAACCGCGGCTACCTGCTGGAGGTGCGGTCGGCGCTTCCGGAGCTGCTGCCGCCGCGGCCGCGGCCTCGCCTCCGACACGTGGATATCCCGGTGTGGTTCGCGATCAACGTGATAGCGCTCTACGCCCTGAGGCACGATCGAATGCTGGTGCTACGCCCCCGGAAGCACCTCGTCGGGCGCCGTCTACAGCTGCCGCTTCCGGCACTGCCGCTGCCGCGGCCGAGGCTCCGGAACCTGGAGCTCCTGGTGTCGTTATGGTCATCGTGATGGTGCTCTACGCCGAGCGCCACCGTTTCCTGCAGGTGCTGCCCCCCCGGTAAGGCCAAGGCTCGAGGCGTGCGATGCCTCCGCCTCCGGTGCTGCTGCTGCCACGGCCGTGGCTCGGGACCGTGGTGCTCGCGGTGCTGCTCATGAACGTCACGTTCACCCTCTGATCCTTTTGCCCTCCAGCAGGCCACCATTTCGAGTTTTCCACTCGCAGTGGAAATGGGCCCGAGTGCAACGCAGATCTTCTTCGATTCGCGGCGCGTTTGCGAATTCGGCCGGATCGAAGCGTGAGCTGACGGCATGCCTTGACCGAACTGTCGCCGATGCTATGTTTAACATGTGCGTGCGCTGGTGGGTCCGGGCAGGACCAATGCATGTGCCTGCTCCTCCCCCTCCTCAGGCATTCAGTTACGATGGTATGCTTGTCAATGCGCGCCTGGCCCAGCTTGGGAGGACTGGCATTCAGTTGCGATGATACGGTTGGCCAATAGTTGCACATGTGGAGAACTGGCTGGGAGGATCTTAGGAGGACGGTGGATGGAGGGTAGTTGGACGTCACCGAGCTTTCTGTCGTGCCAATTCTGCCCTCCCGCGCCCTCCCTCGGACAAGCGTGGCGATAATCGTGCGGTTTTCCGCCGCCGTCTCGACTCGCGTTTCCGGGCGTCAGGGCGCGAAGATGTTTTTCCTTCCCCTCTCAGGAAGACGAACTGTCGTTGTACGTTCCTTGTGCGGCAACGCCTTATAGGAGCTCAGTCGGGTCGGAGTGGTCAGGCAGCCTACTCGCGACTCTCCCCCTCGGTCTGCCCTCCTACCGAGCTGGAAGTTTTGGATCTACGTCCCAGCCTTACTCTCTACTCTCTGATCTTATCATACCTCCCCTCGGTCTTGCCTCTTATTCTTTCCTTCCAGTGCAGAATGAGAGCTACGTCGAGCTGGCCATTAGTCGTGCCAGCCCCGTGCAGTTCCGTCCAATCTGGGGGTATGCGGGGTGAGGACGGGGGCGGGGAGATTCACCAAATATTGGCGCCCGTGCTGCATGTACGCACTGTTGCATCGTTCCCAGTTGCCACAACCAGCGTCTGCATCTAGTTGAGTGCCGCACTCTCGTGTCAGCCCCAGTGGTTAATCACGCTCGAAATCCCCCCAAATCCCTTCCCCTCCCTCATCCTGCCTCCCCCGCTCCTCCCTCCCTCCCTCCCTCCTTCCGCCCCAGACCTCTTCGACACCCAACGTTGTTTGCGGCATAGCTCGAGCCTGGGGCGGCCGTCCGGGACGATCCAGGCACCCCAGGAGAGCTGTCGACGAGGCGCAGCTGCTGGAAATCACATCACCCCGAAGCGAGACACATCCACCAAGCAGCACAAACTTCACGAGGGTCAACGATAAGGGGGGACTGGTACAGGGGGGGACATAATGGGGAATCAACGACCTCTAAGGTGGGACCACAACGTACCTACGACCACCCCCCCCAGGTGGGACCAGGGCCCACCCAGGGTCGCCCACAGGGCTCCCCGAAGAACACACCAGGGTGCCCCTCAGGGACCCGTCCCCAGGGCATCCCGAACCCTCACCGACACAAATACCCCCAGCCCAAGAGCGCCTCCGACCCAAGCCATTGCCGCCGACGGGCATATCAAACCCGATACCTCACATCAGCTGTTACACCATTACACATTACCCATGACACACACACACACACACACACACACACACACACACACACACACACACACACACACACACACACACACAAACACCGTTCCGTTCGATGCGCCTTCGCAGGATTAACACCGTTGAAGCAGCGGGTCATGCGTTCGAACGCTATGCCAATTCTCGACGTCTCCTTCTTTTCCTCCTCCTCCTCCTCCTCCTCCCCTCCTCCTTCTCCTCCTCCTCCTCCTCCGCCTCCTCCTCCTCCTCCCCTCCCCCTCCCCCTTCTCCCCCTCCTCCTCCTCCTCCTCCTCCTCCTCCTCCTCCTCTCCTCCTCCTCCTCCTCCTCCTCCTCCTCCTCTCCTCCTTTTCCTCCTTTTCCTCCTCCTCCTCCTCCTCCTCCACCTCCTCCTCCTCCTCCTCCCCCTCCTCCCCCCCCCCTGCTCCCCCTCCTCCTCCCTCTTCGACGCCCCCTATTCGACGCCGCAGCCCCGCGCCGAAGCGCCGAAGAGGCCAGCGCGCCTGCTGCGCCGAAGGCGCCATCTCAGGGAGGCGACCTGCGCAGCGGCGGGCCTCCGGCGGCGGGGCCCGGTGGGCGCGCCGCTCTCGCGCGCGCAGCGACGGCGCGAGGCGGGCCGCGCTGCCCGAGGAGGAGGAGGAGGAGGAGGAGGAGGAGGAGGAGGAGGAGAAGGGATGCAGGACGAGGAGAGGGAGGAAGGGACGAGGAGGATGAGGAGCGAGGACAAAGGATGAGAGAGGAAGATGAGGAGTCTGGCGAGAAGGGGCCTCAAAGGGGGGACTGTGGGTCCCGCGGGGCCGGCGCCTCAAAGGACGCCCTAGGTCTCACTTGAAGGAGCGGGAACCTCCAGGGCGCCCTCCAGGTCGAGGCTCTAGCACAGCGCCGCGGTGCTGCAACGCCCTGGGCACTACGTGGGTGCGTTAGCGCCGTGCGTTTTGCTGCCGTAGCGCCGCGGCGCAAAGGCAACCCCGCGCGAACGCCAGCGCCCTCCCCAGCGGCGCCGGAGCAGAGGCCATGGAGTGGAGCAGCAAGGAGCGGAGCTGTGACAAGATTCGCCCCGGCCCCTCCCACCACACTGTGCGACCTGCCGCGGCCAGCCGCTAGCATTCGACGCCCGAGTTATCCGGGAGAACTCCAGCCCGGGGCAACTCCAGCTTGGGCCCCCGAGGCACGAACCATGTCTCGTTCCTCCCCCTCCTGGCCCTGAAGTATCTGAATGGTGGGCGTGCCAGTGGAAGGATGAGGGCGGGGAGATATGTAGCGTGAGCTTCGAGACGCGCGCGCAGCTTCTTAATCATCGTCGTGCGTGCCATCATGTTCGTTCTCTGGCCCATGTACTCACATGTACCAATCAATGTATTGTGTGCGGCGGTACGTTCCAGAGTAAGCTCACGGCCGCCGGGAGGGTA